TGCGGGGGGGGGGGGGGGGATCAAATATGTTCTATTTCACATAGTCAAATTTGATCCCTTTCCTTCAATTTTTTTGCGGTGATATAAGGTTGGAATTTTTCTTTTGATTTTTGTGGAGTTACAGATAGTGTAATTTTTTGGATAACATGTAAATGTTATTTAACCAACTTTATGTGTTTGCAGTCATGCAATTCTTAGATACCTGGCTTGTGCATTTCCACGAATTGCAGATCATTGGTAAGTTCAGCAAGTTTGGGTTTTTCAGTATATACCTGAATTGAATGTTCTTTTTAATCATGGAAATGACAATGAGTACTCTTTAAATCTCTTGTGCTTGACAATGAGTACACGACAATAGACATTATGAATCATCTTTTCTGCACTTAACATCACTTGTTTCTTACACTGTCCTATTGAAGGTATCCAGCTGACTTATACAAAAGAGCAAAGGTCGAATCGGTGTTGGATTGGCAACGTACTACCTTCCCTCGCGGTCCAGGTGCTTATATCAGAGATTGTGATTATTTTAGTTTCCAGTTGGAATGTGATATCTTGCTTGAGTTAATTAAATGGTGAATCTTGGGAGAACTTGGACAACAAAATTGTTAAGGTTAAGTCAGCATCTGAGTTAATTTTTATCCTAAAATGAGATGAAACGGGGATATTTGTTTGTCTGATCTTTTCGAAAGAAGAGCAACAGGCATGTTATAATGCTGTTTATTAAGATTCCGGCGACTACCTAATCAAGACTCCTTGCTGCAAGTCTGCAAGTTTCTTACTGACTTTACTCTTTAGTAGCTGTTTCTTGTAATTGAAACAATTGACCTTTGTCAAAACTCTAGTTGTAAGTCTAGTCGATTATGATGGTGACACTTTTTCCACAATGATGGTGACTAACAACACTATGATAAAAGGTGTTCTTTTCCACAGCATTCTGTGATTACTACTGGTTGATACGCCTCTCCATTTTGCTGTTTCCAACAGTTAACTCAAGAACCCGCTTCTGTTTTCAGGTTCATATGTCTTTTATTCTGTTCTTGGTACTACTGTTGGGATGCCTTTGAATACAAAAGCAGCAGCAAGAACAGAGAAGAACCTTATAGCATCTCTTGCGTTGATCGAGTCTGTTTGGCTCCAGAAAAAAGGTCGGTTTTTGCTTGGGAGTGACCAACCTTCAATTGCAGATCTTAGCTTAGCGTGCGAGATTATGGAACTTGAGGTAAAAAGACTTTCCCTTCTTTTCTTTTTTTCTGCTGTTGCTTTACAATCTTTTGATTCAAAGTATAATTGTCTGTTGCTTCCAACATTGCTCATTTCAGAACTGAGTTATATGTTGCTTTTCCCTCCATTAGTGTGTATGAACTTCCGTTGAAGTTGAATAGTAACACACATGGTAAACTGATGAATGCCCTTAAAATTCCCTATTACAAAACACGAAGAGGTGATCATATCAGTCAGCCGGACATTTGCTTCTGTATAGTCATTACTAGTATAACTGATGAAGGAATGGTAATTTTCTCTGGGTTTTGGTTCTATCTTGAAAAATCCATCAACTGAATGCAGTTGATTCTGAGGTCTTACAGAAAACCGTTTTCTGCTGAATTTAGGTTCTGGATGATAAGGATCATGAGCGGATATTAGGCCCATTCAAGAGAGTTCTGAAGTGGCTTGATGATACGAAGAATGCCATGGCACCTCATTTCGAAGAAGTACAATCAACCCTCTCTAATTATAAAGAGAAGGTGCAAAAGCAAAGAAATGCTGTAGGAAGTAAAATTACTCAATCGGGCAGAAAACCTGTCCTGCAGTCGAAGATGTGACAAAAGGAGTTAGGAGACCAGACGCTGCATTATGCTTGCAGCATCGCGGATGATTGTTTCTTCTACACTGTCTATTTGAAGCTGATCAGGAAGAGATTTCTGGTCCGAGCTTTCCTACTACTTATTATTTTGCTCTAGATACTTCCCTTTTCCTTAGTATTTTTCATCATTGCGTCACTCTTGTATTTTTCAATTCTAAAAACGTTTTTCTTGAGACGAGAGTCTATCAGAAACAACCTCTCTACCTCAAACAAGATGGGGGTAAGATCCGTGTTCATTCTAGTACCCTCCCCAGACATCACACTGGGTATGTTGTTGTTGTAGTTGTATTCATAAAATAAGTGCACACAATATGTAATAAGACAAGTTGAGTGTTCCTTAATCTTGGCAACAGATCTGTTATTTCCTATGGTATTACTATATACTGTTTCCTCTTCTGATTCTTGTGATGACAATTTGGTTAAGGTACTTTGTTAGTGTTATATCATTATCCACGAGCATATTTAAGGGTGCAATTTAATGGTCAATAAAATTAAAATCTGAGGTCTCAGGTCCCATTTGTTCAAGTTTTGATGGACAAGTTTACTCGATATATGTGTTGGTGGAAGGTAATAAGTATTTCATGAAATTTATTAAGGTGCACACAACCTGACTTAATCATCATAATTATCAAAATAAATCATCATAATTATTAAAATAAAAAAATCATTAGCTTGTAAAGATTTTATATTTATAAGAAAATAAAATACAATTTTAAATTTTCAAATTATACATTCAAATAAAATTTCAACTTAGTTTCAAATTATGGGCTAAGTGTTTGATTTTAAAATACGAGAGCCACAAATAATATTAGGAAAAATTATCTAAATACAAATTTTATTTTATCATAATCTCTAAAATTTCCTACCATTTAATTTTTTTTCAAAAATCCCCTCTCGAATACATCACTCCCCACTCGTTGGTACAACCTATCTCCATCTCAGATACATCCCTCCCCTCTCTAATACATCCTATCTCCCTCTCGGATACATCCATCTCCTCTCTGATACATTTCTCACCTCTCGAATACATTCTTCATCTATGTATCTGAATGTGTACTGATGTATTCGAAAGTCCGATGTTATATCCAGAGGTCCAATGATGTATCCAGAATTCATAAATTTTAAGGAATTCTTGTAATTTGAAAAATAATATAATTAGCTCTCGTGAGATTACACATAATAATAATAATATCATATATTACTAAAAGTGGGAAGCTCCTAACCTCAAAGTTGAATTACCATTTTGCCCCTAAAATAAAATACAATAATTAAATATCTAATTATTAAATAGTAAATAGTAATCATTATTTTAAAAACTTTTTCCATTCAAAAATAACATTAATTCTCTACATCACTAATTAATCATATGTCGAGAATGTGGAGAAGATAGAAAGTTGAAAAGAATAATTTAATGTAGACTAAATTCATTGGATTATATAAATTAAATAAACATAATTCTTTGGCAATTACAATGTTACCAAGAATTATTAAATAAATGTTTTCATTTTGAATAGCCACTACTATACATAATTAAAGATTGAATATGAAGGGTCGATTCTCATTATTATCTAGGAATCAGTTTTGAAATTAAAAGGTCATTATCTAATACTATTTAAGATGGATGTTAATCACATGAGATTGTATGAATTGCACAATACAACATGAGAAGAAAAGAGAGTTGGAAACTGCAAATGAGGGAGATAACAAAAAAATACTGGAGAAGCTGCTAATCAAGAAGAAGAAACAAAAGCAGCACAAAAAAGAAAAGTAGATTAAATATAGGTGTAGAAGAAACAGACTGTATGTTAATATGTTTGACGCCAACAATAAGAAAGTTCCTATTTGTTATTTATTCATCAGCACGTGGGAACTTCAAACTTGCTTTGCAATATATATCATCAACTCCTCACACTTGCTTTCTTTTTTTCCATTACAAGATTTTTATCCTTTATAATTTATTTGTTTCCGATTTTCATCAACACGGTATAGTTGCAAACTTTATATTTAGTTATCATCGTGAACCTTTGGAACAGTAACTATGAAATCAAAGTTGTCTTTCTTCTTCTTCTGCTTGTATATTTTGATGTCATTTGTCTTTTAATATTTTGAACTTCCTTTGGTGAATTTTTTTTGGGTATTATTCACCCTTAAATTGCAAAAGGTTTGTTTAAAAGTACAAATGTGACCGAACATTTTTGTCAACACAATACTTTGATGAATTGAGTAATAATATTCTCTTTTCTTTTTTTGAGTAAAGAATGATAATATTCATCTATAAGAAAATTCAACAATCTTGATGAAAGCTTGCAAACAATAAATATACAAAATAGAAGTTTGTATCATTAATGAGTTTAATATCTTGCTTTATGGGTTACACGAAGCTTTTTATTGGTCATTAATGAGTTTAATATCTTGGATTTTAATTTTATTATGGAAAAGTATTAATTATAGATCAAAGAAAGTATTAAGATATATGTGCACCATTTAAAATTTAATATTGGGATATAAATTTATATTAAGATTCAGAAAATCACAAGTAGATTATCATTTTAATATCAAAGTTTGATTACTATTTTGCCACTATTATAAATCAAAAAGTATATATATAACTTTTTCCTGTTCATTTACTCTATTTTTTACTAAATAAAATAATAATGGTTCCATTTATCTCAAAATAAAGAGTACTCCACTCGCCATTACATCTGCCAACACGAGTACTTGACATTTTCAATAAGTTTTATCTAATAAATATTTGTATTCATAACCGACTTTTTATGTACTCTATAATTACAATATTTAATATGTATTAACCTCTCACAATAATAATAATAATAATAATGTGTTGTGACATATTAAAAAAACTTTTATCCAGTTAAATACTTGATATATTAAAATATTACATAATTAAAATTGTTCAAGTGTACTTTTAAAATTACATTTGATAGCAATATTTCAGTATGATGTACCTTGTAATGATAATAATATTGATTGAATAGGTTCACCATTCATTGATTTGAGCTTGTATATTTTCTCTTCAACTACTTTGCAAGTTATCGCACAATGATCATTTATACTAGCCATCTTAAGGAAGACATGAATTGATCATATTTCTATTTAATTTTTGTAAAATACTACTTTAATTCGACAACACGTACTTCTTAATATGTATGCAAAATGTGAAAAAGTGGAGACTACAATTTCTTAAAAAGAAGAAAAATTTAAGACAAGAAATATTTTGAAATCACAATTGACATTTAAATTATGAGTTATGACATATTAAACAAAAGAAACTTTTATCAAATTGAATACATGATATATTATAAGAATTGCATAATTGAAGTTATTGGTTTGAGCTTGTATATTTCTCTTCAATTTTTGTGCACAACTTATCACACACTTATTATAATATTTTCAAAGTTCTTGTACTAATAGCATGAGATACACTGACAACATACATGTTCGAGTATATATATATATATATATATCGCTATAACAACTCCACACAACTTAGCATGGGACACACATGCAATGCACGTGTCCAGGGCTAGTAATAATAATAGAGTCAATATTAGGCGCCAACCTTATCTGACCCGTCTACGTGGATCCTACCTCAGCTAACCAAATTTAGCAGTGGCGGTAATTCCATTCTCACATCTGAAATCCCATATTCAGCTCGCGTCGCCAGCGGTGAGTTCGTCGGAGTTAATTTCCGGTGAGCATAAAATTGATTGAAAGAGATGACGTTGAAATTATACGTAGATCGTATGTCCCAACCTTCTCGTGCAGTTATCATCTTCTGCAAGTAAGGATTTTTTTTTTCATTTTTCTTTTCTCTAGATGTTTAAAGCTCATAATGGAAGTTTTAATGAATTATTTTCTAGAAAGTTGATTAATTCCGTTAGAGAGGAACAGATGATAAATACTGAGTATTAGAACGGAAAGATCTATTAGATAATGAACTATTGGTACGATTAATCAACAATTCGAAGTGCTATGTTAATTTTATTTGTAGCTTTGAATCTCAAAATGGATTTTTAGTGACTGGTCTTTCAAAAAAATTAACGGGTGATGAGCTTTTCTTTGTTTTCTTTGAATTCTCATAATTGTGTTTATAGCTTTAGAAGTTACGAAATACAATAGCATCCATACTGTAGTTGTTAAAAAAGTCTCGGTTAGGGGAAGTTTATTCGCTGGATTGTTTTATATAATAGCTTTTCATATATAGGTGAATTGACCAAATCAAATTTATAAGAATCTTTAGAGCTTATAAGGGATTTGTTAATGATTAATTTTATTAAGAAGTTAATGAAGAAGTTCTGTTGTTTTTTCTGGATAATTCTGTTTCTAGTTTTGAAGCTCAAAATGGAGTTTTTAATGATTAATTTTCCGAAAGGTTAAATGGAATAGACTTTGAGGAGATACACATAAATCTCTCCAAGCGCCAGCAGTTATCTCCTGAATTTAAAGGTTTGTCTTTTTTTATTAACTCCACTTTTCGCTCGAAAAAATGGTTTTGATATATTATTTATTTCTTAGTTTCTAGATAATTTCAAAAGTTTTCTGACTTCATCTTCAGAAATTAATCCCATGAAACAAGTACCAGCTATAATGGATGGAAGATTTAAGCTTTTCGAAAGGTAATGTTCAGCTTGAACTGAAAATTTTGCATTTTCCAGTATCACAACTTTGTTAACGTCTATTATTTGCTGTATATGTTGCATACATCCTAAAGCTTATGATTTAGTCTTTCATTCTCGTAGAAGTTCATGTTTGAAGAGTTCACCTAATCACCTGTGCATATATACTGCAAGAAGCAAAAAAAATTGTAAAGATTTCTATGTTGTGTGCACCATGTGGGCACAAGTAACTACTGTGGAAAGTGCCTGTGGAGATGGGACAATTTTATCTTTTCCTGAGTTTCACGTGAAGTATTTTATAACTTGGATAATGTTTAAAAGTTAGCTAACTGATTATATGTGCTTGCAGTCATGCAATTCTTAGATATCTGGCTTGTGCATTTCCAGGAATTGCAGATCATTGGTAAGTGCATCGACTTATTTTCAGTATATACCTTAGTCAAATGCTTTTTATCATGGAAATGAATACTCTTTGAAGCTCTTGTTCTTGACATGGAATACACCCCGGGGCAGATTCGGGATTTAAACTTGATGGGTTCAACTTATATATTCTCACTGCTGGACCCATTGCACTTCTGAAAGTATTGTTAAGAATTTAATAGTTACTAAAAAATTAGTGATCACGTATATGTCTAAGTTTCATGTCAAAATGTTGGGTTAAGCAGAACCCATATTGCATCTGCCTCTGAAAATGGAAATTGGCATTGCGAATGGAACTATTCTGCAGTTGGCATTTGTGTGATGTTAATCGCACATGTACGTGTTATTTGATTGCTAATTGCTTGTTGTGTTTCTAACTGGGAGTAAAGTAGTAGAGTTTTGCTAAGAAACGCATCTGGTTTTGCTATGAAACCTGTCATTTGTACCAAACCAATAATAACATGACACATGTCTTCTGCATACTCTTTTATCACCTAACTATGGTTAATTAATGTGCATATTCCTCTCATTTATTACTTAACCATGGTAAAGTACATTGTTTGATGCAAACACCGGATGCGGACAAGTTTTTACCCGAACGAACCAAAGAAGCACTCCAACAGAAAAGAAGAACAAGTAACATATTAGCAGATTGGAAAATACCTGCTCAACAACAGCACTGAATAATAAACAAGCCCTATCAAAATTTGAGAAGAGATGACTGTGAACACACGGAAGTTGTCAATTCAAATCTATGTACTGTACCAACTTATCCGAAAAAGAAAAAAAAAGTACATCTATGGTGCCTATGAACAGTGTTGCTCTTCATTCTTAGTGATAGACTAATGTACACACTTGTAGGTTGTATAAATGCTTATCCTGGTTAGTGTTTGCTTTAACTTCTCTTTCTTACACTGTCCTATTGAAGGTACCCTGCCGACTTATACAAAAGAGCAAAGGTAGACTCTGTGTTGGATTGGCATCACTCGAACTTGCGTCGCGGTACAGGTGCTTATATCAGATATTTAGATTATTTCAGTTTCCAGTTGAATTATGATTACTTTACCTTGACCTTACTTGAGTTAATTTAGTGGTGAGTGCTGGGATTTGCAAGAACTTGGGCAAACGGATGCCTACAGGCTACAGTTAAGGCAATGACTGAATTAAAATTTTATCCCAAATGAGATTAATCAAGGAAATTTGTTTGTATATATGATCTGTTTTTAAAAAAAAAAAGCATCTGCTTGTCATGATGCCCTTTACTAAGATTCTCGCTACTAACCTAATGCAAGACAGTTGCTGCAAGCCAACAAGTTTCTTAGTCTATCTTTAGGAATTGATTCCTCTAATTGAAACACCTAACCTTTTTCAAACCTCTAATTGTGAGTCTAGCTACTGCATGATGGTGACTTTTTTTTTTAAACATTGACAGTGACTAAAACCACTAGGATAGGTAGTCTTTTCACCAATATTCTATAATTCCTACTTCTTGTTGATAACTTTATATGCCACTCTTTAGCTGTTTCCAACAGTTTTCTGATGCAGTGCTTATGTTTTCAGCTGGATATATCTTTAATACTGTTCTCGCTCCTGCTTTTGGGTTGCCTTTGAATCCACAAGCAGCAGCAGAAGCTAAGAAAGTCCTTTTGGCATCTCTTGCAAATATCGAGTCTGTTTGGCTCCAGAGAAAAGGGCGATTTTTGCTTGGGAGTGGCCAACCTTCAATTGCAGATCTTAGCTTAGTGTGTGAGCTTATGGAACTTGAGGTAAAGAGATTTACCCTTTTCCTGCTGTTTCTTTACATCTTTTGATCCAGAACATAAATTATCAAGAGGAGTCTTGTTGAAATTTCTTTATAATGAATTATGGTTTTGGATGTGATGAATTTAGATTTTGGATGAGAAGGATCGTGAGCGGATAATAGGCCCATACAAGAGAGTTTTGAAGTGGATGGATGACACAAAGAATGCCATGGAACCTCATTTCCAAGAGGTACATGTGATCCTCTTCAAAGCTAAAGAGAAGTTCCAAAGGCAAAGATATGATGTAGGAAGTAGCATTCCTCAATCGAGCAGAAAACCTGAATTTCATTCGAAGATGTGAGAAAGCAATTAGGAGTCAGGTGGCTACATCGTGCTCTCAGTATCACTGTGCACCATGGCAGATAACGGGATAAACAGTGTGTATGTGAAAGTTGATACAGGAAGGAGAATTCTGATCCAAGCTTTCCTTATTCATTTTCCTTTACGTATATGTACTTATAAAATAAGTGTTCAATTGATAATCCTAGTCCACAAAATATGTAACAAGACAAGTCGAGAGTCCCTTATACATCTGTTATTTCTACACTGTATCGAATATATAAGTTTTGAATATTATCTATGAATGTCACTTGCAAGGTGAACTATTTCTAGTGTCTGTCCGGTGCATTTCCTTATTTCCTATAACTTCAGGTACTTTACAATGTATTAGTTGAAGATACTCATAAAGTACACGAAGAGCATGTTTACCAGTAAATAATCCATTGACTGTATCTTTTCTCCCAGTGGACAAAAATTTAGACAGTTTTGTTAACTGCTAAGTTAACAGCCAAGAATTACTCAACTGTGATACCTTGTAAGTCAAGAGTATTCAGTTTCTTAGGTTTCTTGTAGTTTTTCAGCAGAAGAGAGCTGCAAACTACACTGACTGAAGAGGCAGCCATTGCAGCCCCGGCAATCCATGGTGGTAAGCGGAAATGAGTAGATGGGAACAGGACGCCAGCAGCAATTGGGATGCCGAGGAGATTATATCCCAAAGCCCAGAAGTAGTTGAGATGGATTCTCCGGAATGTTTTCTTAGAAAGATCGATTGCTGTTATTACATCTTTCAAGCTACTTTTCATAAGAACAATGTCAGCTGCCTCGATTGCTATATCTGTACCTGCACCAATTGCTATTCCTACATCAGCAGCCACAAGTGCCGGTGAGTCATTAACTCCATCTCCTACCATTGCCACAACTTTGCCTAAATCCTGTGTACTAAAATGGAACAGATGAATCATGTGAAGAAAATGAAATTATTACACATCAAAACCTATACTTTATGATGCGTCTTACGCTCATTTTAACTTTAAACTGTATGTGTCTCTGTGTGTGTGTTGCGCCCGCGCAAATTCATAAAGTTCTAACAGAATGGAACAAGTTCCTACCTGTAGTTCCTTCACTTTTTCAGCTTTCTGTTCAGGTTTGGCTTCTGCAACAACATTTTTCCTCTCAATTCCAACCTGCTTGGCTATAGCATTTGCTGTTCCCCAGTTGTCACCAGTTACTATCATGCTCTCAACGTTCATGGATTTGAGAATGGAGATGACTTCTGGAGCCTCTGGCTTCAACGGATCAGAAACAGAAAGAACACCAATCAGCTCTTTATCGATAGATACAAGTATGCCGGTTTGAGCCTGTCCTTCTGCTTCTGCTAATGCTTCTTCAGCTTCAACTGGAATGGCAATGCCTTGCTCCATCATCAAGCTTTTATTCCCCAAAATCACTTCTTTGTTACAGATGATAGCTTTCACACCATGGCCAGTTATCGACTCGAAGTCCGAGGCTTCAGGCCAGGCAAGGTTCTCCTCACCTCCTCTTAATTTTTTCGCGTACTCAACAATTGCTTTGGCTAAGGGGTGATCACTATTTACCTGTCAATTTAAAATGCAGTACAAGACACTTAAACTCGTTTTGAGTGATCGTCTGAGAAATTAACTCGTTTTGTTAAGGGTATGAATTGACCTTTCTGATGAAGAATCATAAACACGATAATATCCTACCTCAGCAGCAGCAATAAGTTCATAGAATTCTTGAGGTACCATAATTTTGAAAAGCCTAGTATTGACAACCATAGGTTTGCCAATAGTAAGAGTGCCAGTCTTGTCAAAAACTATACAGTTTACCTGTAGAATCAAACAGTTCACCAAAAGTTCATTAACAAAATTTGGATTTTGTTAGAAAGAAGAGTGAGTTTGAATTCAGACCTCTTGTGCACTTTCCAATGCCTGACCACCTTTAATAAGGACACCAAGGGAAGCGCCAACTCCAGTACCAACCATAACTGCCGTGGGAGTAGCTAGGCCGAGCGCACAGGGGCAAGCTACCACCATAACAGAAATGCCAAACTGCAGGGCAAGCTCAAAGCTATCCATGGAAGAAGGAATCCAAGTTCTTGGATAAGAATTAAAAGTTCCAGCTAAAAACCAAGAAACCCAAGTACAAAATGAGAGAGCAATGACCTGAGAAATCAGAATTAATCACTAATTTTCAGCTAAGGTTGGTTAGTTATATATATATACACACACATATTGACAACAATGAACATGTAAGGGGTGCTTAATCTCACAATAGGCACAAAGTATTTGGAAATGTGATCAGCAAATCTTTGCACAGGAGCTTTAGCCATTTGTGCTGATTCAACCAACCGAACAATCTGCGATAGAGCAGTTTCTGACCCAACCCTTGTTGCCTTGATGTGTAACACCCCATTCTCATTTAAAGTCCCTCCAATCACCATGTCACCCGTCTTTCTAGTGACCGGACGAGATTCTCCTGTTATCATGCTTTCGTTTATATGGCTTTGTCCCCGGATGACAAGACCATCACAGGCTACTTTCGAGCCTGGAATGGTTTTAATCACATCGTTCTTTTGTATCAATCGGCTATCAACTTCTTCCTCATTCAGCACATTGCCTTTGTCATCTAGAGTTAGCAGTGTTGCAGTCTTTGGGGCTAAATCCATAAGCTTGGCAATGGCCTCAGATGTCTTTCCTCTAGCCAAAACTTCCAAATATTTTCCTAGTAGAATGAACGAGATAAGCATCGAGCTAGTCTCGAAAAAGTCACTGGCTTTGAAAGTTGGAGAAGTAGCAGCTCTTAGTACAGAATAGACTGAATAAAAATATGCTGCATTTGTTCCTAATGCAATAAGAACATCCATGTTAGCATAACCATGGCTTAAGGCAATATAAGCACCAACATAGAATTTTCGACCAATGATGAACTGTACTGGTGTAGATAATACCCATCTCACAACCTGTCCAACGGTTAGCATGTTGGCAACCTTAGTCTCCAAAACATTCTTCAGACCAGGAATGTACATAAACACCATGGAAGTAAAAAACACAGGAATTGTAAATGCTAAACTCCAAATAAACGCTTTATAATATTGCCTGATTTCGTGTTGTCTATGTTCTTCTCTTTCTCTTCCCTGAGGAAATATACATGCCTTGAAACATCCTGATTCAGTTGATTCAATAGCGCGAATAAAGTCTCTAGGTCCTGTTACATCTGCTGTATAAGAGACCGATAACTTCTTGAGCTGCAGGTCAAAGTCTATTTCTTGAACTCCTTGTATTGCAAGAAGGGAATTCTGTATCAGTTTAACACAATTCTCAGTATCAACTCCATCAACTTTAAGCAGTATTCGACTACTATCTCCTCCTGTACTAATCAATATGCCTTCAAATCCTGTATTTCCAATAGCTTCCAACAACTGATTACACTCAACTATTTTAGGATCATAACAGATTTCAGCTTCTTGAGTTGCTAACGCGACTCGTGCTTTTTGTACACCAGGGATTACCTGCAATGCTGATTCAAGAGTTGTGGAGCATGAAGTACAAGTCATTCCATTCACTTGAATCCTGCATACTTGTGAGGACTTCTCATGATGCATCTCCTCTTCACTCAACTTATTAGACTGAAATCCAACGTCTTCTATAGTCTCGCGGATCATCTCATCCTAGTCATATTAACATAAAAAAAGCATTTCAACTATGTGAGAATGATTCTTGAAGAATTTTTCATCCTCACAAAATTATATAGCTGTAAAGGAAGAGTACTTAGTAGAAGAGACCACTTTTTGAGAAACCACATACTAACAAAACAGAGAAGATTGAACTAGTTTATGTATCAAGAAACTTACTGTGTTAGTGTTATATATGTGATATACTATACTATAGTTTGGCAGCTCAGTGCAGAAATTATCCCACGTTCACATAGGTTCGGAAAGGACCACATCCTTAGAAGGTGTGATATAAACAACTTATCCTGACACAAACATGAATGACTAAAGAACACGACTTGAAGCTTGAATCTATAGGTTATACAAAACAACTTTACCATTACCATTGCTAATGGGGTATTTAGAATAAGTAGTACACATTTAATATACTTAGCAGGCAGGTCCATTAGTATTTGTCTAATTAAAGTGGAATTTTAGGATAATCTTTGATAATGATAAAAATACACATCCACTTATGAAAAAAAAAAGTGTTTTTTTTCCCTATATGCACTTCAAAGTTTATATTAACTGTGTATGAGGAATCCAAAAGACCGCACAAAACACTAAAAAGCAAAAAGTTACAAAAAGCTTCTTCAGAAAAAAGAAGATTGGAGAATATTTTCCCACTAGAAAGCATAGATTTGATTAGTGCTTTACAGTTGAACAACTTCCATGTGTATCTCAAATTTACATTCTGAATGGTAGTTCAAGTTGGAAGTTATTTCCACGGTTTCGTTTCAATTTGTTTGGCCTATTTTAACTTAACACGGAGTTTAAAAAAAAAAAAAATAATTTGAATCTTATAGTCTTAAATTAAAAATATGTTAAATATATCAAAATGTTCATTAATCTTGTAGTTTTAAACATATCATATGAAAAATTGAAATTAAAGAATCGCAAAAAAAGAAAAGAATCGTTTTTTTTAAAAACAGACTAAAAAGAAAGGTAGATCAAACAAAATGAAACGAAAATTTTGGATTGTTTGAACTCATGGATGCAATCATGAAGTTTTAAATGTATAAATTCAAAACTTCCATACTGAGTTTAAAGAGGTACAAAAGTGAAAGAACAATGATGGTATCTCGCTTTTATCACGAGGTACCATCATTGAAATACTCCTTTAACATTATTTCTCTCATCGCATATCTATTTCAAACTCCATAAAAAAAAATTAAAGTATCGAACCTTTATAAGTTCAAAAACATGAAACAAACACACTAGAGTAAAATTCCAATAAAATCACCCAAAATAAAATAAAACTAAGAGAGAAATGTTGCAATGAACTTACATTAATGAGACAGCCAATTTAATTCCAATGATTGAAAACAAATCCTTTGTTTCATTTTCTTGAAAGTTTGCATTTTTTTCTTTATAGCTTATATGTAGAATTCTTGCTACATTTTTTTTTTTTATAACTCTCTTTTATGCTCTTTCGGTTGAAAAAAGTACACAAGTTTTCTTTTTGGTCATTTGGAGGTGTTTCTAGTTGTAAAGTTTTGGATTATATATACTTTCTTTTTATTCAGGTGCTTCACAGCATAGCCACTAAGCACTAGAGTTAACACTGGTATATTCGGGAAAAAAGTTCATACATGTTATCGAACTTTAAAAAAAATATTATTTATGTCATTCGTTAAAAGTTTAGCTTATATGTGTTATTTCTATATGAGAAAAAGCTCATTCATGTCATTATTTGTTAACTGAAATGACATAAATGAGCTAAATTTTAAACGGATGGCATAGAGAAGCTTTTACGTATTTGAGATTTTTTCCTTTTAAAAAATGATTTAGTTAATGACGTGGCCAAATCATAATTGACCACGTGTAAAAAATGATTTTGTGAAATCGGAACTGTGCTCAGATAGCTAAGTAGTGAGTTGTGAGCTCTGTCGAGCTCGCTTCCTATACTCTATCTCTACCTCTTTATATATTTATCATGCATCTATTGATTGATCAAATATAGACACACCCCCTCTTTTATACATTGAGTACGAATAAATTTTTATCATTAATTATAAGATCTATAGGTACCCTTCCTCGGTCCTCAAACTATCACTATCTTTCACATGGTGAATTGAATCACACATCAAGTTAGAGTTTGATTCATAATTTATAATTTATATATTTTTATAATGATAACAAGTTAATAAGTAGAGTACTATAGTAGATAAGTGAATTCCAGTTCAACATATTTTATGTGGTTAACTTATTTACATAATAGGAATTTGATACACACAAATAAATTAAGCTAAAAGTGTCTAATATAGAAACACGTACTCAATTGAAACGTGTCATAGTCTAAATATCTAAATGAAATTTACTGATAAATTTATACCCGATATATTCCGCCTAAAGTTTTAATTTGTTCAAGCGCCTATTTGTTTCAATAATTAATACTTAAAAAATAAAGCTAACAAAGTGGTACACTTCTGCATAATGAAGCTACTTTTTAATACATAAAATTTAGATTTATAATCAGTACTCAGTAGTACTGTATTATTTGCAAAAAGAAAAATAGTACTGTACTATCACAATTCCTCCATCTCATTTTATAAGTATTTATTTATATTGGTATTACAACAACAAAGGCATTATGATTTAATTAAACAAAAATTCAAATGCTTTAAATTGAATTACTAATTTAGTAATTTCTAATTACTATTTTTCTGTTATTTCACTTAATTTATATGTGAAACAGGTCAACACGTAAGTTCATCTTCTTTAATAGGTCATAGAAAAAAATAATACATAAAGCCTAACTAGAGAATCATACTTTTTTGAAATTTGTCAAACACCGATATGATTGATTAAGAATATTTGTATCTAATATTCTTGTTATAGATGAACGCATATTTCTATTTGTTATAATTAAGGGCGGAGCCAGCTTGGGGTTAGGGGATTCAACCCTTCGACAAAAACTATATATATATATATATATATGATTAAAATTAATTTGTATGTATATATAATAGACGTTGAACCCTGTTTGGCTAGTTCATATATATACTTCTTCATATTTTGAATTTCTTAAGTAAAAATCTTGACTACATGTCACTGATTATAATATATATTTATCTATGTAATGCAATGATGATTTTAAACTAATCAACAAAAGGTAAGTTAACACACCACATCCAACCCTACAACCCATTTACTTGTCAAATAACTTTATGAGAACTGCTTTTTTTCAAAAGTATATATCATGTAAAATAAAGTTATGAAATCATACAGCAACAAGAAATTAAAATTTATGGGATTAGCACTTTTGATTCAAAAGCAACCACATATTGGTATACACACAATTTTTACTTTTATTAACTTGCAATATACATTAAGCTCCCACTATGCGTCGAGCGTCTAATATATGCATCTTATCTTGCATTTCTACTAGAAGTTGTTTTCACAGCTTGAATTCGTAACCTGGCCAAAGGTCGTCTCGCGACAACTTTTAGTGTTGTACCTAGCTACCCTTTCAACATATTTACATAAATTATGACTCAACAGTTATTCCTCCAATCTCAAGATTATCAAGTTTTTTAGGCCTCTTGTAATTCTTCAGCAAAAGAGAGCTGCATACAACACTTACTGAAGAAGCAGCCATTGCTGCCCCTGCTACCCATGGTGGCAACCGGAATCCGGTAAAGGGGAAAAGAGCTCCAGCAGCAATTGGAATGCCCAGAAGGTTATAACCAAATGCCCAAAAGTAGTTCAGGCGAATTCGACTAAAAGTTTTCCTGGAAAGGTCAATAGCAGTTATAACATCTTCAAGATTGCTCTTCATTAGGACAATATCAGCTGCCTCAATAGCTATGTCTGTCCCTGCTCCTATCGCCATTCCAACGTCTGCTGCTACAAGTGCTGGCGAGTCGTTAATTCCATCTCCCACCATTGCAACAACTTTTCCCAAACTCTGTTGATCAATTAAGATGACTTAAGCACCAGCATGACAAAATTAATAATACGCTCCAACTCGTCCCCACAGTGATGTGTCTAGATGATCATTTTGTTAGTTGGAGTGCTCAACTAACACAATGGAGACGAGTTGAGGTGTCTAGATGTGCACTTTCAAAGTTGAAGTGCTTACTTGTCAACTGAGGCCGAGTTTTGAGTGTCTATTTATGTATTATGTCATTTGTTAACTCAGGCAAACTTAGGCTAATTCTTTAAAAGCAAAATGTGTTTTATCTTTCAGCAGATTCATGGCATTGAAATTTTACCTGCAGTTCCTTCACTTTTTCGGCTTTGTCTTCAGGTTTTGCTTCTGCAATAACATCACTAATGCCAACTTCCATAGCAATGGCATTAGCTGTTCCCCAATTGTCACCTGTTACTAGCTTACTCTCGACTTTCATAGACTTAAGAAGAGAAATGACTTCACGAGCTCCGGGCTTCACTGGATCTGATATAGAAACAACACCACTCAGTACACCATCAATTGATACAAGAATTCCAGTTTGAGCCAATTCTTCTGCTTCTGCTAGTATTTCATTGGCATCAACTGGAACGGAAACGCCTTGATCTAACATCAAGCTCTTGTTTCCAACTATTATCTTCTTGTTGTGGACAACAGCCTGAACACCATGTCCAGTTATAGACTCAAAGTCCTGGACTTCAGGCCACCGAGGGTTCTCCTCGTCCTCTCTGAACTTTTTTGTGTATTCAACAATTGCCTTGGCCAAGGGGTGCTCACTATTTAGCTGAATTCAAGACTAAGTTATCAGTTTCACGTATTGGCATGAATAAACACCAGCATTCACTATATTAGAAAAAACAAAATGTCCTTCAATCTTGTGGTCTAAAACATCTCACGTGGAGTTAGAATTGAAGAGTTGCCAAAAAAGGAAAAGCCATTCTTTTTTAAACGGGCTAAAAAGGAAAGTAAGACAAACAAATTGAAGCAGAGTGAGCACCTCGTATGATCTAGCCTAAGAAGAGTCAGTAGGGGATACATATCAGAGAATTATCATGATAAATTTAGCTTAAATGGCAAATGGAAGGCTCAATGAACAGTTTTATATGTTGTTTTATCAGGGCAATGGAAACATGACTAAGTTAACAAGGGTGATAGAACTAGTAGGGCAAACATCAGCAAAGAAAACACAACACAACGGGGGGTGGTAATGTACCTCAGCTGCAGCAACCAATTCATAAAATTCTCTAAGTACCATAGATCTGAAAAGCTTTGTATTTACAACAACTGGTTTTCCCATTGTAAGAGTCCCCGTCTTATCAAACACAATACAGTCCACCTACAGAAAACATATGATGATTTTAATTTTTATGATATGGCATTGCAGGAAGCACAGTTGAGAAGTTTCGGTGCTACCTTTTGTGCGCCTTCCA